GCTGATTCCCATCACCCCGGCATTGAGCCAGCCCCATGCATGGGCACGAGCGCTTGGAGGCGGCAGGGGCGGGTGGTCCAGGGGGGATGGAGGGGCTGGACCGCCCGCGTGGGTCCCCAGCTCTGCCAGGTCGGAGGGCTGCAGGTTGGGGGGTCTTGGTTTGGGGGCGAGTCTCCTCCAGGCCGGGCCCCGGGGTCTCAGCAGCGGCAGGGTTAACCGTGGAGGCGCAGGGAGTAAACAGTAGATGGCTGATGGGGATTTTCCATTCCTGTCATGCCTCATTATCTCCCGGAGGGGCGGAACCGCCTTTCAAGTCCAGGCCCCAGGAGGCTGCAGGATTTGGCTGTTGGTTTAATGTAGCGGGTGTGCAAACATCTCGCCTAGGGACCGTCTGCCAAGAGGCAGCTCCCCTTCCTCCCATGGAGGTGCGGGAAGGGAGGGCAGGGCAGGGGGCTGGTTCCTCTGCCCCCAGACATCCTCTCCCCCCTCTCCGTCTTTTGCAAAGTGGGTCGTTGCAAGGCCCGCCTGCCCCCCAGAGCTGGGCGCACCCTGCTGCCAGCCCCCCTGGCTGGGCGGGGGTCTGGGGCTTTTCTGGCTGGGGTTTTGGGGGGTTGTTTTTACCCCCCCCCCTTCCTCCATCACCGCCAGTGCAGGAATCAGTGGCCCAGGTGGGGAGGATGTGCTAGGGGCTGCACGTGGCCGGACGAGGCTGGGCCTGGGGGGCGGTGCGGACCCCCAGCTCCGTGCCAAGGGGTCTGTGCCCGGAGAAGGGCAGGGCGGTGCGGCCAGCTGGGGCCTCTCCAGCTCTTTCGTAAGCTCTTTAAGAGCATTTATGGAATTAAGCCCCGTAATCTCCTTCCTCTCCCCCTGCGGCGAGTAAAGATCATCCCCGGCTCACCCAGGGGGAAGCTGCCGCCTGGGGGAGCCTGGGATCGATCCCAGGCATCCTGAGCATGGCCCACCCATGTCTGCCCACTGCACCTCGCTGCCTCGCAGGGCTGGCCACATGCATGCCCTGTGCATGTCCGCGTCTCTGCCTCGGGACCTGGCTTTTGCACCGTGCTGCACCCTGGGGGGGTGGGACTGGGGGATCCGCTGCACCCGACTGGGGCTGCCCCGAGTCACAGGCCGAGGGGCATCCTCCAACACGCGCCATCCTCTTGCCCCCTGCTCAGAGCCTGTCGGCCTCGCCGCCCGAGAGCCTGCCGGACGAGGAGAGGCCGGGCGGCGCCGGCCTCAAGCGCAAACGGGAAGACAAGGACCTGGCAGGACATTATGTGAGTGCGGCCTGCAGCATGGCCCAATGGGTAGAGCACCCAGGGAGCCTTCACTTCCCCTTGCACAGACAGGCCGGCTAAGCTGGTGTCGCTCCCTCCCTGCCTCAGTTTCCCCTTTAACAACGTGAGCTGCCATCGGGGGGCTCAGACCCTCTCGCCGATGCCTTGTCTAATTAGACCGAAGCTCACCGGCTCCGTTAGGTGTACGGCGCCGAGCACGCCGGATCCCACCCTGAATCCCGGTTCACGAATGGGCTTTCCCGTGCTTCTTCCTGGCTTTAAAATGCAGCGGGAAATATTGGGCGGGGGGCAAGGTGGGGGAGCGCCGGCACCGTCTGGCTCCCTGGCTCGGGTAGCGCGGGTGTCGTCGCCATGCTAG